GAACAGAGATACTAAATGCTATATTGGTGCTTTTGCTTTTATACAGCTATCTAATGAAGAATCTTATTTACAGGTTATTACCTTAACTGTGAATATATATATAATATTATATTGTTGAATGTATTGTTTATTTTTCTTAGAAAGATGTCTGTAATATTTTGATATCACTGTAATGTTGAAAATTAATAAATTGATAATAATGTGATATCATTTTAATGTAAGATGATTTTCTTGAGCAATAAGTGAAGATCATTGACATGATGTAGTTCAAGCAATAAAACTTCATAGCCTGATTTATTCATACTTTAATAATTGAAACATTTAGCCATGATCATAGTAAAAGGATTACCTTTTAAGTTAATAGGTTTAAATATATTGCAACTGTTTTAATTATAACTGTTACTCTGAATTGATGTTTTATATATGATTCCTGATTGTTGAATGATATAATTGTTAAGGAGTAGGTATGGATGAATTTGATTGAATACTTAGGATTTATGAAAATTTAGTTAAAAATTGTCAGTTGTCATAATTTAGTTGTTGACAACTAACGTTCTGATGTGTCACAAGTGCTTGTTAGTCTGGAAATAATTTTTTTTATGAATCTTAGATGACTTTAGACTTGTTCAGTTCAAAATAAATTGGTAATAGTCAAATGTAATTATAATACATGGTATGATTGGTCTTAAACATGAAATATTTTCCTTGTTATAAGACAGGTCCAGCATGTCATTCAAGTGAATTACTACTGATTATTAGTATAGGGCAAAGAAGACCTACATTTTGATCAAAAAGTTTAAACCAACTTACTTTTCAAAGTACATTTATAAATTAAATTGATCCTAGTCCATTTTGCGATACGGCCATCTACAACTAAGCTGTGCATCACAGATGTATGGTTAATAATTTGTCTCCACAATCCTCTTTTTGTTTAAACATGGTCACTTTTTAAGGAAAACATAGAAGAGATGCTCATTCTATTCTGTTTCACAATCGTGATTGAATCCAATTTAAGCTGGCCAATCAAATGTGGTATATATTATGCTTCCGTATAAAACACATTTTACTAAAATGGCGATTTGCCTCTAGTCAGTAGATATTCTACGCAGTTGTAGTAAACTATTATAGTATTATAGAATGATTAAGTTACTAGAAGTAGGCCTGAGTAACTCTTAAGTGTCAAATAGATTTGGAGCTTATCATTTAAGCCTTCTTTTTTTGAGTGCCAACATAAATGTTAAATTTGAAGGAAATTTTGTTATAAGGAACTTGTCATTTGGTTAATTAATAGTTCATATTTTACAATTAAATAACTTGCTTGTTAAAACATGAATGCATTATTTGGATTTGTCAGAGAATGTGCTTTTCTATAAAGGAACTCCAGAAATCAAAACCTGTCATTCTCTCCCTTTTGTTCCTCAAGCAATGTTAGAAAGAATCAGGTTGTCAATCCGTTTTTTTTTTTTTTTTCAACAATAAAACTGACAAGGAGAGCTAGGATTTGATGACATTTTTGTTCTTAATTGTAAATGTGTTGAACAGTTCTTCCCTATTTTTTTTATTTCCCCCAATGAAAGAAGAGTTGGGGGGATATTAATATTTTTGCCAATGGACATCAACCGAGATAACCCAAAGTCTGGCAACTTACTAATAGCACAAATCAAACAGGGTTTCTAGAGATTTTGGAGGAGCCTGGACAAAAATAATTATACCAGTTTAGGTGCAAAATAAACCCAAACTAACACATGCTTTTTTCTTGTCTCATATATGAAGTAATAGTGGCAACAGCCAGGCTTTTATATTATCTCAGATGATATCCATCATTACTGATTTTCAAAATGAACATCAGCTTTTCAAATGATAAGAAAATAACCTTTAGTCAGAAAAAGCTGATAATCTGTATCTTTTTCCACTCAAAATAAAAATGGACAAAATTATATTTAAAGTATAGCATTGTTTGCTTCAAGTCTGCAACCTGCTTTTGGAAGTAATATTGTACAGTGGAAAACTAGCCTTTTTTTTCTAAAAAGAAAAAAGTAATTATCTGTTAAAGGGATGACAGTTAACTGTTCATATGAAATTCATATTTCAAAATTAATACATTGTATAAAACTCCTAGAAATATTATAAATTCCAATTATCGCCAAAACAGTGGTTATTATTCTGGCATCTGTGTTGCCATCAGACCACTTGGACCTTCATAGATGGCTATATCTCCATGATAATCTCTCAAGGAATCTCTTACAGATGATTACCAAAAACCAAACTTTTTAGATAAAAAAATACCATGGACTAACTTTGAATGTCAGACCAAATTTATTAACAATTGGTAAGTATGGAAAAATTGTCCTTTATCCCTTATACATTTTTAGATCAAATTATATTTTTAGATCTTGATGAATGAACACTTTTTGACTGAGAAGGTTATTTCTTTTTATTTGGGTTCCATGTGCCCAAACTAACTGGAGTGATTCATAGCACCAAAACACAGGTAAAGTCTGAATAGCGCCTTGATGGACCACCTTTTTGTTTGTCTCTTCATAGAACTTGTCAATACTTTTTACCTGTCAACAAATCGGTGGCTAGCTCTGTAATTACAGCCCAAGCAAACTGCACGTTCTTTGACCCTGCATCCGGAGAGCACACAACAAAGCGTAGGAAATAAGTATTCCCTATTTTAGACGGAACCAGATGTATCCGGCCATCTTGAATAATTCTTTGTAGTAGCTGTTCATTAACTGCATTGGAGTCCTGATAACAGAACAAAGTTTCACATACTTCTATGCAATTGAAATATTTTCATCAAACATCATCCTTTTCAAAGGATTGTAAAGTTAACAATTATAAGTCTCCAATAATTCGACTTTTTCCCTCAGGAATTGTAATTTTCAGCTTTTTTTTACTTACACCATAATCTCAATGATATAAAAAAATTTAAATTAAGACTAAAGCAATGTGACAAAGTTTAATTTTTGCATCATACTAACCTTGAGTCTAAAACACACCAATCCAAGGACAACTTGGCCAACAATTTCAAATCTTCTATCTGTCAGGACTAGTGTCTCAAACTCGTGTGCAAGTTTCACATGCTGAAATAAATTTGGTAAAAAATGCATTGTTTCAGTTTTTCTCTGATGCAGCCTTCTACGCTTGATATACACAATCTAAGAGGGTCAAATGTTTAGTTATAAAAACAATATTATCAGAATTTGTTAACATTTAAGTAGTACTAGTCAGACTCTCATTAGCATACAGCAAACTCGACATACATGTATATACCTTCTATTTAACTTTTATTGTTTATCTTGAACAAATATCTTGAAATTTGGAATTTTTCTTTGTCAAAAGCTCAAGGTTATGAATATTGCTTAATTTGAATTTTGGCACAATTACACTTCACAAAATAAATAGCTTGAGGCAAGGATTTTGCAAGAAAATTTGTATTCCAAGCAATAACTGCAATTCCTTCTTACAAATTTGCTGCAAATTTTTGGGAAAGAGTTTGTGCCTGACATTGGGTACACAAACAAAATTTCTTGTGACAAATTGCTTAAATTATGCAGAGTATTCTTTACAATTTAATGTAGTGGTATGGTAATAATATGTCCAATAATTAAAATGAAAAATATATTAATTTTACTCTTTAAATAATGTTTTGGCAATAAGATGGTACAAGTTGATTTAAAAATTCTGAAAAGGATTTCTGTGTCAGGCAGTACATGTACAGTACATGAGCACCAACAGAAACAAGTGGCAGCAAAGCTATCCAGTGTACAGACAGATAATAAAAATGACAGTACAAAAATAAGTGCATAAATCAACTTTAATGCAATTATTACATTTACCTTATAAGGGTGTTAAAACAGCATAATCACTAACTAATTTTAAATTATGTGGGTCTGTAAATAAAAAGGAATGATATAGGATGTAAAGAACCTGTCTGATGTACTCTTGTAGTCCATTTACACCATGTAACCTGAGAACAAACCACAGCTTTAAGGAGCGGAATCTTCGAGCCAGAGGAATCTGCCAATGCTACAAAAATGATAACAGACATTAAATCTGTGTAATGGCTTTTATAGTTTTTATAAAATCCGTGGGATTTTTAAGCAAATCAAATCAAATTATAATTATTGGCAGCAATTATTTTTTCATTTAATCCTTGTATTCTAGGATATGTACCTTCTGTATCAAATACAAAAGTTCATTAAAAAGGCTTTAAAATCCAAAAATATTAAAAACATCAGAAGAGAAGCATGAGCCATGACTATGACTGCATTCCCATATCAAGGGCGGATTTAGGCCGTCTTCTGGGTCTTCCAGAAGACGGTCAGATTTTCAAGTTAACATTGACAGGTATCTAATGTTTTCTGTTGGAAGACGGTCAAAATTGGAGTGTGAATCAACAAAGATAATTTGGAAGACTGTCAGTAAATAGCTCTGTATCCGCCCCAGCATATCCCTACTGAACTAGCAGGATCGATCTATCTCAGCGGGGCTTCTTGCTAAGGCGCAGTCAGTATATTAACATCATGGACCACAAAAGTTTCCCGACTTTACCCAGGTACTATAAGTTATTGGGAGGGGGGGATGGGCAGACATTTTAACTACTTAAACTGAATGCAATTTAGCAAGAATCTTCCAGTAGTTAGTTCAAACCAGATAGTATGATAGGGTTGTGGGAACAGTCCCTAATCTCCTTGGTAATGGTTGGAGTAGATAACTATATAAAAACAGTTACTGTATTAAGTCTAGAACTGTAGATATTCTTCTGTCAGTGAGCAAAATGTAATTTTTATAACCAGTCAATACCTCATCTGTGTACTGCTAGACTTCATCACTGAGTGGGGGTGTGTAAGATGTTACAGACAGTTGTAGCAGATGGAATGCTGGCTGGTAAACAAAGTAAAGTATCAGTTTATTGTGGCCAGAAGAATCTACATTTCTACTGCAGTAATATATAGCTGGATAATGAAACTTTTCAACAGTACTTACCCTGTAGTCTGTAATCTTCCCCTCGCCATCATGATGCATCAGAAGTGCAGAGTCCACATTGAATGTATTAACTAGTTTGCTGCTGTCTTTTAACCTAAATAAAAGGCACCATGTAGTGGTTTAATTACTTTTCATTAGAGGTAGTCTGGGTGATGATATGTCAGGCCTGTAGCCAGCAATTTGAAAAGGGGGGTTCTTTTTCTGAAAAAAATGGACCTTTTTCCATAAAAACTTCATGTACCTAGATCAAATTTTACCCAGAGTGGACCTCTTCCCAGCAAAAGGGGCAGTTCTTTCGAACCCCCTGAACCCCCCTGGCTATGGGCCTGTATGTGATTGTGCAAAAATAATCACCAGTACAGAAATGTGCATAGTCAGTGAATAGGCAGAGAAATATCTAGACTAGCTAAGTGAAAGAATCTTTGTGACTCTAGTAGAGGATTCCAAAAGTTGCCTTGGCTTCAGATTTAAAGCATGCCACTTTATTTATTTATTGCTCCCATGTTTTTGATTTGAGTAATAAGTAAAATAGTTGAAACAACTAGTTATAATATTTAGCTTTAAGCAAGATCCCCCTTTATGAGATGAGATAAGAAAATTTAAATTACAGAAAAACATATAAATGACAAATATAATTAAAAAAGAACACAACTACTGTTTTGAAAAAAAATCATTTTGAATCTCCAAATAATCAAGCCACTTAAATTTATAAGCAGGAATAAGTGAAAATTTGAATAAAAATAAAGAAGAGGGCAAACATGAGCTCTAAAATTATGGCTAGCCATTGGAAACATCATGGTAGTAACTTGGTTGAAGCAGATAAAAAAAATTATCATGAGGTTTCTGAAAATTTAATGTTTGACCCAGGATTTTGCTGAACAAACAACAGTGGACAAGAGCAATTTTTGTAAAACATATGTAACAGTGACGGAAAATTAGTTGGATTTATTTGTCATGTTTCACCTGCATTTACAGTTTTTAGAAGAGAGAATG